GAATGCCAAAACATGCTCATCGCCCCTCTACCGCCCAAAACAAGTTCACCGCCCCTCAGCATCCTCCCACCGCCCCCAGTGAGAACCAATGACCTAGAGGATCTAAGTGACTCCATCTGTTAGAGTATTCCTCACAGTGGCCCTGAAGTTGTTCTTGTGATTTCTCCCTCCCTCTTACAGATCTCCTTAAATGGGCTTGCAGGCCAGCCATCTGCAGACATAATAAGGGTAGAAAAATAAGTGCTGTTATTGTGATGATATAATCCTTAATGTAGTGGGCCCTTACACGCGTTCGATTAGATTCCCTCAACTTTTTCCAATGAGGTGCTGGGAATCTCTTTTGTCATTTCATCTCCCCAGGAGTCCCCTGTGGTTGACAGACAGTGAGAGCATGCATAGGAACAATCTAATCCAAGGCCCTCAACCCCCAGGCAGTAAGGCCTCAGCTGAACTGCCTGCCAGATCCCCAGGAACAAATTGCCCAAGTAATCAGTGGTGGGAGCTAAGGGGGTATGGGTGACGCGGGAAGGACTGTTCCCAACAGCTTGATGCAACCCCTCCTTTGTACCTGATACATGTCAGGTGGTCTATTTTTTTTTCAGCAAAAGGGTAAAAATTATACAATCTGAGGAGAAACCAATGCTAAACTTGTGTTTCAAATTAGCTTGGCTGACAGGTAACAAGCATCGAGAAACATAGGAGAGAATGGGCTGTAGAAGCCCGCGGCCCGATTGCGAGGGACACACCAGCTGTACACAGCGAGCGCTGAGGCCCAGGTCGCGTGCGCGAGCTCTCTGGAAGCGCTCCCATCCTCCGGGGGCGTGACTTTCCTCTGCCTGGGACTGGGAGCGCAAGGGAGGTACTGGGTTGAGGAAGGCGATTGCCATAGAAACGAGAACGCGGCGGCTTGCTCCTGCTCTAGGCTCGTCGAAGCGCAGCAGCTCGCATAGGATGTCACGGTGGGATCTTTCCGGAGCTTGGTGATCATCATGATGAACAAGATGGGAAAGAAGGAATTGCGCAACAGTAAAACGCCCCCCGGTAGGCTAGTAAAGGGGCTTTGTAAGAGGGAAGGGGAGGTATTCTGAAAACTCTGCTGTTGTTGCAGCTGGTACAGTGTATCATTTAATCAGTGTTATGTGTGGAGGAGCCCATAATGTTTTAAAAAGACAAGGCATTAAAAATGAGCATTTGGAAATTAATCTTTCTGATTAATAAATTGCATGTACAACCCAGCCCGTCGGAGCATTTTCTGTATAGCTTAGTATTGTTACAGTAATTAGCAGCACTACGTGGAAAAGACAGGGATAATGTTTTATGTGTTACTTGTATATTGCCCTGATACCCTCAGAGATAAAGGATTATTTTTAAAAGTTTTAATTAAAATGTTTACCATACTGAACTAGACTTTCCCCCTTTAATTCCATGTGAGTGGCTACAGCGGGCTTTTTGGAATAAGATAAATGAACTCTGGGTGCCCTCAGGTATACTCTCTTACCATATTACTGCAGTCTGCAGAACTCATTGAATTCTACTATTTAAAACAGATTATAAGGTTGAGTGCTTGCTTAACTTGATAGCTAGAGATGGGCATTATGCTGGCAAAAGAAAACCAAAAAAAGAAAGAAAGAAAAAAGAAAAAAAGTAAAAGTAAAACCAGGAATGGGTTTCATTGGACCCAGCACTGCTAGAAAGGCAGTAGGAGCAACAAGAGGGGACACTGAGGATCCTAGCTGAGGCAGTTTAATGCAGGGAAAGGACAGCATGTGGATGCAAAGTGAAGGGAGAAGACAGAGTGAATGGGCATCTTGTAATAGTAATAGGTTCCAGGACAAACGATATTTAATGTAAAAGAGTATGATTGCTGGTTTTAATAACTTTAAAAGGGGGTTAAATGAATGGATAAAGGAATAGTCTATATTATATTAAAAAACAAATGAATTCCTAAGTTCCTGTATTTCAGTTTCTGTGGTCATTCCTTGCAGCCACTAGTAACTTCTAGCCACTGCTGAAAATATGGTCTGAACCATCAGGGTTCTTCTTTTGCTCCTTTGGTCAGAGAGAAGCGGCTCACATAAAAAAAGCTCATGAAAAGCAATTCTGCAAATGTGTTTAACATTAGTATGTGCTATGAAATTTGCATGGCAGAATCCATGTTTGCAGTGATGGAGCATGACAAATGCTGTAGGTATCTGATTTTCCAGTGTTTTGGGGTATGAGGTCTGTAAGCATCTCAAACCAATAATATCAACGTTTGATGTACAAATGTGCTATAAAAGTGACGGTGATGCTTCATGTACACATCATTGATGATACAGTAATATTAGATTCTCAAAATAGATGTAAGATAGGGTTGTGGAATAGTTGAATCCTGGGCTTGTACAGTGAGGTTAAGCTTCACCTAAATTAGCTTAGTAAATAGGATAATATAAGTTCAGCAAATGTGCATTAACAAAAGGTAAGGGAAAGGCAGATAAACAGATGTTGTAATAATGAAAAACAAAAGATAGAGAAAAGACAATATTCAATTTCTGTTTCATCATTATGTAGAAAGACTTGTATTTCTTTGATAAAAATAAGATTCCCTACAAGAAAGCATCAAAGTGTAGTGCTAAACATAAAGTGTGCTATGAACTTCACTACATTAATTGGCAAAGTTCATGAAAGATATATTGGAATGCCCTGCCAAAGGAAATGTTCTTGAGCCCATCAACTCTCTTTTTTTAGAAAGTGGTCAAGACCACCCCCCACCATAGGCATTTCTATTTTTAAAAAAGCTGGCAATTTGCATGGTACTATCTGGTTGAATTTCAGATGTATGCTATTTTAATGTTTAACTTTAATCTGATGTTTTAGAGGTTTTATTGCTTCAGGTGCTTTATACCAAAAAGCAGGGTAGAAATGAATAAAAGAGAATAAAGGAACTATTCTTGCATGGAAGCAGAAAAACATCTCATTCAAGATCAGGGCATTAGGGAACTGCTTCAGTTATCATAGTACAAGTGTGTTGTTGTTGTTCAGTCGTTAAGTCATGTCCGACTCTTCATGACCCCATGAACCATATCGCGCC